GGCCAGCAGGGAGGAGGAGCTGCGAGGTTGGCTGGCCAGCCCCATCCCCTGATCAGGCTGGTTCGTTGGCCACAGTGGGCGTCATAGCAACCAGTCGTTATGGGCCATTTCGGTTGCTGGCTTTTTATATATATAGATTGGCTTTGGGGTTATAGACTAGTCCTGTTCAATAGAAATATAATGCAAGCCACATATGGAATTTAAGATTTTCTAGTAGCCATATTAAAAAAAGTAAAAAGAAATGGGTAAAATTAATATTAATGTTATTTAACCCAATAAGTAAAAATCATCATTTAGACATGTAATTAGTATCAAAATTATTAGAGATTATTTTACACTCTCTTTTTTTGTACTAAGTCTTCCAAGTCTGGTGTGTATTACTTTACACTTATAGCACATCTCAAGTCAGACCAGCCACCTTTTGAGTGCTGAGAAGCCACATGCGGCTGCTAGTGAGCATACTGGACAGCGCATTTCTAGATCCTAGTAAAAGCCATGAACTGCATCAATATAATACATATACGTATGAAATTGTGTGCAAATTAAGGGGCTCACATTCTAAAAGTCCATTCAAGATTTGGCCAACTTAGTCAAGGGAGACTTGATTTAAAAACCCTTCCATCTTCTCAACTATAGGGAGAATCCTGCCTGTCACATCTCTTCAGTCACTTCTTCCCCTTCCCTCACAGTCACAGTTCCTCTCATCCATTTGTCCCAATGTTGTAAGAATACATCAGACCAGATTTTTTCTTAGGTTTGTATTTTTCTGATTTGTAGGTGAATGTGAGTAAAAAGAAAGGAGATGGGGATGTACTGAAGGATCTTATGAAAACTGCAGGCACCGCCAAGGTCAGGGAGGCCCTTGGAGATTACCTGAAGGCACTTAAGACGGGTAAAGAAGGCATCCCTTGTGGACCCGGGGCCCCTTTCCTGCGTATGCTCTACACTGTGCTCTGGATTTGCAGGTCAGGCTGACATCTAAGGCTCCAGAAACAACCCTATGCTGCAGGATAAATTGTAGTCTGGATGTTGAGAGCTGGTCATGAGTAAGACCATAATTAGTGGTTGTCAGCCTTGTACACCACATGAACCATTTTGTCTATAGGACTGTTAAGTTTTCTGGAATGAATGATAATCATTTAATCAGTTATTTGTATAATTAGTTGTTTAATTGGTGTCTTCCCTGCCAGACCATGAGCTCCATGGGGGCATGGAAGGGGTCTGTCTTGTTCATTGCTGTATCTCCAACATCTAGCACAATGCTTGGCACATAGTAGGTGCTTAATAAATCTTTGTTGAATGACCGACTGCAGGTAGTAGAGGTGTAGTTGAGATTTACCTAGGTAATCCCTACTTATACTATGTGGCAGTGAGGTTATTTATTGCTTTCTTCCCTACATTAGATAAGTTACTTGCCAGGCAAGGTGGCCAACAGGGGCCTGTCTGCATAGCTTCCTTGGGTTCTGCTGTGTCTAGGTGTTGGCATAGATAGGTTTGAGGTTGCCACTGGCCCACAGGCCTGAATATCGTGAGGTGGTGGTGAAGCAATGTGAAAGTGTCCAGTTCTGACAGATGAAGGCCATAAAACTATTAGTAATTAGTTGTTTAAAAATGAGGTTTTTGGGCCAGCTAGCGTGGCTCAGTGTTGACCTATGAACCGGGAGGACATGGTTCGATTCCTGGTCAGGGCACATGCCTGGATTGTTGGCTTGATCCACTGTATGGGGTGTGCAGGAGGCAGCCAATCAATGAAACCCTCTCATCATTGATGTTTCTCTCTCTCCCTCTCCTTTCCTCTCTGAAATCAATAAAATACATATTTTAAAAAAATGTTTTTGGAAAAGAGCATTTGAAAATTTTTGCTGTTTTATCAAGAATTGAATAAAAGTGAGGCATTTGAAAAAATAAAAGGCATTTGTTGCTATGAACTCATGTGAGTTTTATATATAAAAACTAGAGGCCCAGTGCACGAAATGCATGCACTGGTAGGGTCTGTAGTGGCTGCTGGCCAGGTACTCCCTCCCTTCCCCTGGCCAAAGGGACAATTTGCATACTATGCTTTTATTATATAGGATGTGTAATGTTCTTGAAATTCTCAAAATGATTTAGGACTCTTTTTTAACACTTTTTTTGAGTTTTCTGCCAATTGATGCTGAAAAGGAAAAAAGTTCCTTATTAAAACCATTTCCTATGTTTCCTTTGTAGAATTTACAGTGGGAATGATTTTACCAACGAGAGCAACCGCAACTCAGGAATTGATTGTTAAAAGGAAAATGAGTGAGAACACCTTGCAGGTATGATCTCTAGTGGTTAACATGTAGGGAAGGGGGAAGGAAGTGCTTAGTGAGAATTCTTCAAAGCTCTCAGCAGCCTTTTGATGATGGACTATAGAGCAGAGTCCATCCTTGCCTCCATGCTATTGTGTTGTTGTTTTTATTTGGGGGCGGGGGGGGTGATGAGATTCTCATCTTTGATGGAAGGGAATGTATAAACACCTTTTTGTGGGATATTGAATTTCATTCAAGATTATTCTAAAGGCACTGTTCTTTGGTAGCAACAGATTTCAAAACCAGGTGACTTTGAGGTTCAATGGACCAACCATCTCTCCAAACTTTTAGATTGGGAGGTTTTAAATCCTGTTCTTGGAATCTTGTGGTGTAAATGACACTTTGTCTTTATGTGCTATTATCTTTGATCTGCTTATCTTCATACCCTTTAAGCCACATTTATATGTCCAAAGAGGACTTGGGGTGTTAAACCATAGCCCAGAAGAACAGAGCTAAAGAGCTCAAAGGAATAATGAGCTGTTTCCAAAGTAAAGGCCAGGACCGATGGTGCTAAAAAGCCTTTTCATGTTCTCTCTCTGTTTCTGGAATGGGTAGTGTGGAATTTCGGCTATTTTGGTGTTCTATTAAGGCAGGAAGACTAAATTTTAAAATCTAAGCAACTTTATAACTTGGCGTGCTAATTATCCTTTTAAACCTCTTGAGATTCAGGTGCCACTGGGTGTCAGGATCCCCACTGTGGCACTGCACATGACGGAGCTGTTCGACACAGGTGTAGAGCAGCTGTATAGCATCTTCACTGTGAAAGAGGTGAGTCACTTCTCAAGCTAGGATCTTAAATGCTGGCACTGGGAGAAAATGTCCCACTAAGATATGGAGCTGGATTTTGGTTTCCCTTATGTTCATGTTTTCCTGATTGAAGGGATCTAGAACAATGATGGCGAACCTATGACACGTGTGTCAGAGGTGACACGCGAACTCATTTTTTGGTTGATTTTTCTTTGTTAAATGGCATTTAAATATATAAAATAAATATCAAAAATATAAATCTTTGTTTTACTATGGTTGCAAATATCAAAAGATTTCTATATGTGACATGGCACCAGAGTTAAGTTAGGGTTGTTCAAAATGCTAACACGCCGAGCTCAAAAGGTTCGCCATCACTGATCTAGAACGTGGGGATACAAGTCTTTAGGGTAGCTTCTGAAATATTTGGGGGGGGAATATATCAGTAATTAGGGAATACATAAATTTACTTAGTTTTCTCCCTCTGTGAGGAAAACTGTAAATAATTGCAAGCTACATATTCAGGACTTAAAAATTGTGTCTCTTTGCCTCCCTTCCATTCTAAAAAAAAAAAATCAATGGGAAAAATATCCTCATGTGAGGATTAACAAAACAACCCCCTCGCCCCCCACCTCAAACCATAGTAATTATTCTATACTGAACTAACGTCTATGTTTTTCTTGGTTAGTTGGTGCAGAAATTTTCTAAATCTCCTGCCATATTAGAAGCTGAAAAGGGAGGGAAATTCCAGATGTTTGATGGGAATGTCACCGGTGAATATATAGACCTGGTAAGAAATCTCTGGTTAAAAGAAAAGGTGGGGACCGACTCGTTTCTGTTACCATTCTTTTACTTGTTTTGGGCTTTTAATTGAGCTCACAGAAACTTGAGAACTTTATATAGTTGGTTGTAAAGCAAATAAAAAATGTTATATATAATGAGAAAGTTGAAGCCTTAATTTCACAATATTTGTGCAAATGCTTATGATTTTAGAAGAAACAAGTATAATTCTCCCAGCTCTTGGTGTAGAACATTCAGCTTTCTGCCGCCTGACTCACAGTGTCTGCAGTGTCAAGTGTTAGCAGCTCTGCTCCATTCCGTGTTACACTTGTCCCGACGTTAACTGCTGGTAGATTTTTGGCACTAGGGACAATGAATTCTTAATGGTTTTGGCATATAACCTGAAGGTGGGACTGTATGTTGTTCACTGATAACTTTTAGTACATAAGGGTTTTAATGAAAGGCTTCGCTGTTTTTCTGTATAGTACTGTAGAAAATTTAAAAAGGTATTTTCAATAGAACTTCCTCTTTGTTTTCAGTTAGCAAATGAAAAGATTGTCATGAAATGGAGATGTAGGAACTGGCCAGAAGGTATGTTATTAGTACCGTTTCTTTGTTGTAAGAGTCCGAACACTCAAGCTGTACTCATGTGTTTTCCTCTTCATAATGGTTCCTTTTTTTCTTCCAGAACACTATGCCACAGTTGTACTGAATTTTGTGCCTACTCCAGGGAAAACGGAATTACAGTTGGACTGTAAAGGAGTTCCTGTCTGTAAAGAAGAGAACATGAAATTCTGTTGGCAGAAGCAGCATTTTGAAGAAATAAAAGGTTTACTGCAGCTGACCACTCTAAGTGGTTGAATTAGAAGATTTTACAAGAGCATTACTTTTTGTAAGCAGAAAGTTACTTGTCCCCTATCATTTCTTTTAAAAAAGGAAAACAGAAATCTTAATTTATATTGGATGAGATCCATGAACTTTTACAGAATTTAAAGCATTGTTTGAATGTTGACTACAAGTAAGAAGTAGCAAGCAACCTGAAATTAAGTACTTAACCTTACCTCCCATAGATGCTCCTCTGGGAATACCTTGAATTCCTGAGTACAGATGTAGCTTCCTAGCCTCAAGTTTGTCCTTGTAGCAAGCTTACTTTCTGCTGTAGTTTTAGTTCAGGAAGACAAGAATAAGTGGCATGTTGATGTCATTCCTTTATTTACTTCAGGGTTTCTAAGGTAGGTAGCTCTTAGGTTAGTGAAACAGTGGCATGTTGCACTCAGAAGCATGTTGAAGTGAGAGGAGTTGGTTGTATTGTCACACTTCTCCCTGCAGCAGTAAGCATTACAGGGTGGAAAGACTGAAAAGTCTATGGGAATGAGTTACTTTTGGACTGCCACTAACACGACGAAATAGAATACAACCGGTAAGTGCTTCCCCCATCCACAGTTTTCTCATTACGTTCACCTGAGAAGACTGAAGCAACGTATGTAAACAAATTAAAAGTAATCACAATCAGTTTAATTAAGTGCACAGAATAGCAATCAGTCATGTCAATAAAAATAAAACAATTATTTTTACATCAAGTGTGCTTTATTTCCTCCACAGGTATTCTGTTAAATAAAGCACCATTTATATACTGCCAGGCCACAGCTAAAGAGGATTCTTTACAGAATCAAATTTCTTGTGGTTGTTCCGTATACAAGTAAACTTAATTTTGATAATAAGAACCACAGCGATCGGAGGCAATCTGCCTCTATTATAAGGTACAAAACTGGCACAGAAGACACCATATTATACACAGTAAAAATGCTGTAAGTTTAAATTACATTGTACAGGGCCAGGGAACCCTGTTCCTCCCAGACAGCCATATTAAATGAAAGCCACTACAGTGAACTCTTAATTACATAAAACATATCCATTATCTGATTGCCCTTTAGAAAGTATACTGAAGATGCAAATTTTTTTTCATCTGGAGTTCTGCCTGACCAAGAATTAAGCCTATAAATCTATCTTGCCATTCAAGCAGAGAGCACTGGACAAACTGAAGCACAAAAACAGAAATAAGCAAAACTTATACAAACAGCATTGGGGAGCAGGGGGACCGTAAAAGTAGACATGCTACAGCTAATGTCAAGAAGCAGCTTGGTTTCCTTTGCCAGATATCCTTATGACCACGTGAATTGTAGACTCAATGGTTCTGCACAGGGTATCTAAAATGTCATGTTGCTGCATGTGACTCAAGAGTCCTCTGGAATGGCCACAACTGAGTGACAAAGCAGCCTCAGGGTCCTGGGAGGGCAGAGGTTGACCATCACAGCTTCTCAAGTCGGCTAAGTCAGACAGAACGGCAGAGATAGAAGTAGAAGGGAACTCTGATTCGTCCTCAGCTAAGTTGGAATCCTTGGGACAGTGGAGGTCTTTAAACTCTTTACACTCTTCAAACCTACCACTGTTGGACTGTTCTTCTGCATGCTGTGACCTGGTATTTGACATGTCTTCTGAAAATGAAGAGGGAACTTCCATTCGGTATTCTTTAACAGAACTATTTTCAGGGGAAGGAAGATCTTGCTCAGTTCCTGGATCAATAATTGAGGAGTCTCTCGTCTCATTGTCTGAAGTGCTGGTTGGGGTCAGAACCTCCCTGGTGTCTGTTTTCATGTCGCTGATGCTGTCTGCAGTGTGCTCCTCATCACTGCTGACACGCCTTCTTTTAACAGGCGTCGCCCCTTCATCATCTGTGAAGACATCAAAACGAACTTCCGTGAAAGGAGCCACTAAGATCACACTGAAGGAGGGGGTGTTTATGGAAATTTCCTTTACAGCATTCACATTTAGGAGGCCCATGTGAACAAAGAGCTATTGTATGGTCAGTTACACCAAGTGTATTCCCTCCTCCCACCCTAAAGTTAATTCTGGTTCATAAAACTAACCTTTAGTTTTTCTTTCTTTGGCTTCTTGCTCTTGGAGTGAGTTTCTCTGCTGCAGACAAGTCCTGCATTTGCTTAAAAGCTCTTGCAGAGTTGGAATTAGAGCTGGGTTTAACTGTTTGGGAGTGTGTACCGACAGGAGCAAAGCAAGTGCCCGTAGGTCCTACAACAACCCGGACACGAACATTTCAAATTCTAACCAACATTTGAAACACTTTGTTCACAGTTCAATGCACATATTTACATTCCCAGGAAGCTATCCTGGCTTCTCTGGCATTTTTAGAAGAATGCTGCAACTAGAAAGCCAATGTTATGATACTATATCTCATCAGTCCTAAGTAACTAATACCATTAATTTTATACATCACATCATTTAAAAAGTTAGACAGGAGCTGAAACCGGTTTGGCTCAGTGGATAGAGCGTCGGCCTGCGGACTGAAAGGTCCCAGGTTCGATTCCGGTCAAGGGCATGTACCTGGGTTGCGGGCACATCCCCAGTGGGGGATGTGCAGGAGGCAGCTGATCGATGTCTCTCTCTCATTGATGTTTCTAACTTTCTATCTCTCTCCCTTCCTCTCTGTAAAAAATCAATAAAATATATTTTAAAAAAATAAAAATAAAAAATAAAAAGTTAGACAGGAGACTCAAATAGTGTTTTTTGAAAATGGGGGTGGGGGGGGAATAGAACTTATATAGGAATGTAAAAAACAAGCCCTGAATGATCTGTGAGAAATTTAGGGCTTATTAATCTAGAAATCCGTTTCTCAAATATGTGAAAAACAGTACAGTCTTCGCCCTCATCTCTGTAATCTGCTGGCACCAGCATTTGTTACTCAGGAGGCTGCTGCTGGAGACATGCCAGCACGTTTCCAGGATGTTCCTTTACTCTATGGCATGGCCATCATGGGAGCCAACGTAAGGCAACTTACTAATTCCCTAGTTTTAACTGGCTTTATAATACATTATTAATCTGGTTGGTTAATTACTTATGAGCAATAGGCACTAGAAAAATCACAATTGTTTCAAAAAATGTAAACAAGTTGAGCTAAAGGGAATGTCTTTTAGTGGTCATACTGCCTTAGGCATTTAATGACATTAGCTCATGTCTTTTAAGGTAGTGAACATGTGTGCACCCTGGCCAGTGTGGCTCAACTGGGTGTCTCCTGTGCACACTGAAAGGTTGCTGGTTTGATTCTTGGTCAGGGCACCTTCCCCGCTGCAGGCTTGATCCCCGCTAGGGGACATCTAGGAGGCAATCAATCAGTGTTTCATTCTCAAATTGATGTTACTCTAAAAATTAAAAAACGTATATTTAAAAGTGTGTGCTATGTACATAAAAGGCATAGTGAACAAATTTTTAAAACTCTGATTAGTTTTTCATATTTGACATCTAGAGTTTGAATAATAAAGGCATAATAAAATCACAGTAAGGCCAAATTTACAGTTGATGTAAGGAAGGTCTGAAGTCCACAGTTCTTACCCCATTTAATGCAGCACTTGCTTTGGACATTTCAATTCGGTTGGTGAAATCAGATTGCAGGTTCTGATACTGATTTATCAAGTTTGTAATAAGGGTGCTGATCAAATTGGCACAGTTTGCTTCAGAAAACACTTGACCTTGAACCTGAAAAAAAAGGATTAAAAAAATCTCCAAAAGACCAACATAATGAAAACACAACCATTAACTAACTGGAAGTAACATACTGAGTTTTCAAAGTACAACATACCTTTAGAAGAAAATGAGTCATGAATGTGTAGACAATGTTGTTGTTTAGGAAAGTTCTTTCATCCATTAGGATACATTTTATATATTCTGCAAAAACGGGATCTTCACACAAAAGCTTGATGCAATTTTTTGACAGGGCAGACTAAAGTGGGGAGAAGAAGTACTGATGGGTGAGCACTGAAATCACTGTAAACCTCAAACATACTGCTTATGATGACAGGAGTCTGTGCATCCGACTGGAAAAACACTTGTAACTCTGTTTAAACTTTCAGTTACAGCAACTGTCCTCCCATCAGTTAAAATATTACTAACTTGGACTATATGGGTGAGTGCTAGCAGAAGAGACTTATAAAAGGGTTTGAATGGCAAAACTAACCAATATTTCCTTTAAAATAATGCAGCTTTAATTAACATTAAGAGAATTAAAGGACTGGTCAAATAGAATGTTTTTAGGGGACCAATTAATGGATAATAGGTAACCATAGCACAGGTAGAGATAATTTTAGGACTTAAATGTTATTCTCTAAAATGAGTTAAAACTTTTGCTCTATTATCTCATTAGTAGTAGTAATTTGTTAAAACTCTTCCCCCCTCCCCCCATAAACATTGCAAAGATAAACAGCAAACCTCTTCCTAATTATCTCAGTGGTTTCCAATATATGGAAATTTCATTTTCCTGTTTTCAAATGGTCATGGCTCTTAAACACAAGTAGTATGTCTTTAAATAGATATATTCCCTAGATAACTTGTGTGTGTTTTAATAACAGATCATTTATATGGAAGCAAAACAGACTTTTAAAAAATACGACAAAGTTTAGATAATATGTACATTACATACTTACAGGTTTTATTACAGTAACTAGTAAGTAAAATACTCAAGGTCACCCTAGCTGGTTTGGCTTAGAGGATAGAGTGTCGGCCTGTGGACTGAAGGGTCCCCGGTTCGATTCTGGTCAAGGGCATGTACCTTGGCAGCGGGCACATCCCCAGTGGGGGGTGTGCAGGAGGCAGCTGATGGATGTTTTTCGCTCATCGATGTTTCTAACTCTCTATCCCTCTCCCTTCCCCTCTGTAAAAAATCAATAAAATGTATTTTAAAAAAATACTCAAGGTCACCCAAAAATTAGGTAGGACCAGGACCATGTCTTCAGATTTTTGGTGTCAGGAAAAGCTGCCTTATTCTCCCAGTCACACACAGCCTCTGCCTCTGGTTCTCGCACAGGATTGCCGGCAGGGACTTAGGAAGCCTCAGCTGGACTGGTTTTGGCAGTTAGAGGATGATGAATTCTGGGGCGGTGGGGAAGCCAAATAGAGTAGGAGAGTACAATGCAATAGGGAAGCAGTAGGAAGTGGCAGAGTGCAGCCCTCACCAACACATACAAATAAAGCAACCATCCAAATCAAGAAGAAAGATCAACAACAGAGAAGGAAAAAAGCAGAGATCTGATCTGCTTTAATTTACTGAATAGACCACTCAGCTAAAAAATCAACCAGCAATTCATTTTCTGACTGTTTGTGAAGTACTAAACCATGTGGTCAATGTGTCTAGCCTTTCAAAGATTCCTACTCTAGGAATGACATTTCTTCAGGGAACAGAGATGACAGATAAAGTGTCTGCACTAGAGGAGCTCAGAGTTTGGGACAAGGAGACTACTATTACAGTACCTGACATAGATCCATTATGAGAACATACAGAGCACTATACCTGGGCAGGAGGCTGGACCAAGCTCAAAGTAATTCAGATACTATAATGTGGATAAAAGGTTTATGCCCAAGGGAAGTTAAGAAACCCATCTCTTTCTCTGGAAATCAGCAGATGCAATCAGGCAGGAAAACAATACCTTTTTCAGGGTCTAAAAGAGTGGGGATCCTTTTTGCCTGACCTAAGGAATGAGCCCAACCTTTGGACCAATCTGGTTTCTCC